CCTGTCTGTCGGCCCTGAATCCGCCCGACCACGATGGGCTCCGGTCCGGGAACCGCCTCGGCACCTCGCCAAAGAAGGGCTCCTGATGGCGCGGTCCGGTCCCGGTCCTTCCGCCGGTGGGGCCGAACTCGGTCCTTACGGCCCGGTCCTTACGGCCGGTGTGGGTGTCCAACAACAGGTTTTTCATGACCCGGTCACGTTCGAGCTATTCCAGGCAAGGGTACCCCAGGTAGCGAGCTTGGGTCCTAGTTCAGGTCACTTCACCTCTCTTGGGTGGACCCATTCACGAACTGGGCATGTTGCGCCGCGAATTCCGCACGTTCATCTGTCCCTCTCAACCACACACCCTCTGAAGAGGGCCTCCAGCACCTTCGTGCCCTCCTGCGCCAACGCATGCCTGGCGAACTCGCGAACGCGCGGTGTGTTGCTACCGTGGCCCGGTGCAGGGCGGCCGCGAAAGGGTTGGCCTGAAGATCCTGGAGAGGCCTGGCTTTAGATGTGGATGCCTACCGTAGGGTGGGTTGCATTGCCATCAGAATTCCTTCCTGAGTAACAAGGGGTCAATGCCAGACTGAGCGCAACGGTGGTTCACATATCGGTGTCTTTTCCATCTACCCACCACGGTCAAAGCCAGCCCTCTGTGCTCCTGGAAGGCTCCCAAGTCTTCACCTCGTATACGAACACCTCTTCGGACGAACCAGACCGGGACGGAAGACCGCCCGCAGCCAGGGGCGGTGAGGGAAGCGTTGTGGCTTGGCTTTCTGAGTCCTACCGTAGACGGGTGTTGTATCTTCTGGGTAGAAAAGAAATGAGTCCTTGGCTTTCTGGGTCTTAGCAAGGTAGCTATGTCTCGCGATCAGGACGTGCGCTTCGGCACCAGCCACCGCGCCGCTCGCGACGAGTCTGGGATTCCCACATCATGGGAATAAGCCCGAAGTTTGCCACGTACATGGACACCTTCGGTTTGGCACCTTCCCCCCTGTGCATCTTCGTCCCTTTCTTCCCGCAAAGACACTGTATTCACATCCCATGTGCAACACCACTTGAATTGGCTGAAACATGCTGAAACGAGTGTGGAGACTAAATGGTCTGGGTATGTCTGGGTGAATGAATCAATGGGAGTGCCACTGGGGGGAGCACGAGCTGTGGATGCGACTGTCCACAGTGGAGCTGTAGATTGCCGCTAATTCTGTTCTCCCCCCAAAAGAGACCAACATCTCCACATGACAATCTGACAGTCTTGCACTCTTAATTAAATAAATCTTAAGTTTGTATCATCGCTCTGGGCTTTGGGCGCAAACCACGCAGAAGTCCTGCAGGATGAAGATGAGGTTGTACCTCTGAGCGCATCGGACGTCGTCGTCGGACCAAAAAGCGGCGTCGCGTGGATGGACGTTGAAGAACGGACGAAGCGTGCTGTTGTTGAAAAATTGCAAATGAATCACCAAGCCACCCAAAATCTGGTCAAGCTTCCGATCAAAATTCAGGGGTCATGGAACATGTAATGAAGAAGACGAATATAGTCTTTATGGTCAAAAAGTGTCGCTATTCGACATTGTCTGGGCTCGTCTGGCACATAGAGTCACAAACACACAGGAGGCTCTACTTCCGTCACACGTCGAGCGACTGCCGGAGTCCCAAGGAAGAGAACCACCTCCTGAGAAGATGGTTATGGTGGGTGCCAGGGGGGTCTAACCGCCGAACCTGAGGAGATGGGACAGGAGCCGTAGGGGTGACTTGGTGGTCTTGGATTCCACATCCACTTCCATATGTCGTCTTCGTCCAATCTCTCCCCCGATCTGAACGCGATGTTTCTGAGCGCCCGGCGCCAGCCAGATGGTCATTAAGCCCACCTCAGGACACCGGGATTTCGCTTCGCCCCCTAATATCCACCGCAAGTCGTGCCTGAAGAATGAGTTCGGAGATGGACATGCCAGTCCGAATGTCTTGGATCCATGTTTGTGGGGTGCTTTTGGCCAATAGCACTGTGGTTCACTGATGCTGGGATCCGTTTTGACCAACAAGACCCAGAGAGCTACTCAGAGCCGTCATCTCTGAGACATCCTGCGTTCCTCCACTGGCACTGTGCCGCTCATCGCGCAACCGAAGAAACAAGGTGGACGCTGCTTCCACTCGACCGATCGAGGTATCCCGAGACTTCTTATAGATCGAGGTATCCAGCCAGGAGACAGGAAGCCAGCGTGAGGCATCCAAAAGCACATCAAATTCAATTTGGGACTCCAGGGCAGCTGATTCCTTTGCAACCCGCCCCAGACGCCGAAGTCTCCAAACGAGAAACTTGTTCTGCTTGTGAACAAACCCGGTCACGCCGAAGTCCTGCTAAACCCGGTCACTTGGGTCGACAAACTTGTAAACACACGCACCAGTGGAAACACGCTTCATCGTCATATGGCTGTGGGTCATGGCACCGGAGGATCCTGGTTCTTTTTCCCACCATCCTCGGATGAACCGAATAGACGACGCAAAAATGGTCAACCTACGCGGGCGAACAGGGCTTTAGATGGCTTTAGGCTTTGCCAAATTCACATCCCAGCGACGCCACAGCAGGCGAGGTAAAAGAGCTCCGGCAGCCATGGGCCCAGCAAAGGGATGGGCGTGAACAGCAGCCTCAGCGCCGGTTCTTGTGCTCGCGGCGGGTTCCGAAGGTCAGGGGCTTTGGAAAGGGGCTTCGATCAATTTTGTTCTCTCACATTCTCATCATTCTCATCACCCAGACGCTCTGTTCACAGCCCGACAGGGTCCCTCAAAACCAGTTTTGTCCAGACCCCTCGACCCCAGAGGATTCGGGGCCGAACGGGTCGCGTCTGGGAAGTCATGGACTCTCTTCGACTCTGTCTCAAACTCCGACTCTTGGACTCCGACTCCCAATCTTGTTCTTTGTTGCTGATGTTTTCAGGGCTCTCAGAACATTGGCAGTAGATGCAGTAGTAGGTTTAGATCATCAGGGGTCTTTCTCCTGCCAGATGAATCAAAGAAGATCATGGGGCCAATCAGAGCGCTGGGAAGAATGAAACCGTTTCTGAGACTCTGGGAACAAAGAAAGCAGCTCTCACCCTGCAACGTGGACCATATCCTGCACCACGTTCCACCTGACATACACTCCCTGAAATCATCATGGAACTGGAACAAGGTTTTGGTTTGGATGACCTTTTTCCTCTCAAAACAGATGGCAGAAACCCTGGTTCTCCACGCAACCGTGATTCTTTCAGGGACATGTTTTCGACGCTAGCAGTACGGCCAAATCGATTCAAACTGAAAGGTCCCAAGCTTTTCCCACACTCGTTTTTGGTCGCTTGCTCGCACCATTTTGGGGGTCTTCTCCGCTCGCGCTCGCAGGCTTTGGGCTTTGAGGGACGATTCCCGCTCGCATCCGCCGTCAGCACCAGGTCAGGCATTCGACCCATCGAACGACATCGGTGGAATACGAAGATCACACGCAGCTGAGACCTCTTGTGGTTTTGATGGTCATGACCTGAGAAGTTGTGTGGACGTGGTGGGGAAGACGTGGACTTGCCACTCCCAAGCTTGAAGTCATCCAAAAGACTCACAGGCTCAGCGGCTGACTGAGGGGCGCTCACACCCTTGGCCAGCCATGTGTTTTTCCGTCCTCTGCGGGGATCTTTAAACTAGAGGCTCGAATCACTCCATGTGAAGTCGAGCACCAGCAGGGTCTTGCTGTGCTGCGCATGTGGGAATTGGTCTGCAGCTTGCCAATCAAAGCAAGTCTGGACTGGCATGGTCGAGTGCTTCGTCGTCTTCGCATTTGTTTGAACTCCATCTAGGCAGCTGAGGTTTGTGGATCTTCCTGGTGAGGAAAGTGTGCACTTCGCCAGCTAAACTGAGCTCATCATCCGAAGAATAACGTGATAAGCGGCCATGTTTTGTACCGCTCTGCAGGAATCCTTAAAACTAGAGGCATCACAAGGCTCAAATCACTCCATGATGAGCCTGAAGAACACCGGAGGGCTTAAAGCTTTGCCCAAAGCGCCAGAAGAGACTTGGAACCCTCGTGTTTGTCTTCAAGTGTCATCACTGGTGATACGCTCACTAACATGGAAGTGGACGTCCTGGTCCCTTAAAGAAAGAGTTTTCCTGTAGGGGATCTGTTTAGCATGGCAACTCCCAGGATCTTCATCTTGTGCTTTTGCGTTCTGCCCTGTAGTGGCTGGTTGCTTCACAGTGAAGCTCGACACACTCTGCAGCTCCCAATCTCTCGTCGCTGAAAAAGGGTGCTTTGATGCCATCCACCCAACTTTTACGGATTTGGGATGGCCAGTCTCACAAGATTCTTTGCAGTTTGATCCTCCAACCACAGAAACTACTACAGAGTTTTGGTAAGGCCTTACACAAATCACCATGTGGGAATTGAGCCAAGAGTCTTGAGGGGGGTATACGACATAAGTATAGCCTAGCAAACAAACTATCAAGTTCATTTCTTCCAATCAAATGAGCACTGGCACAACCCCTGTCCTGCGAAACCAACACCCCAGTGCGCATTGGCACCGGGGGAGATCTTCGAGAGGCACACAGTCCTCGAGTCTGGAGAGGCACGTGGAGGACTAAGGGACGAGCCGACAGAGCTTGCGGCTGATGTGAAAGGCTTGCCCTTCAGAAAGGAGGCTAAGGCATTCAAAGCATGCTCAAAGCAATCAAGACATTCCACGTTTGTCTTGTTTGCAAACACATGACTGTCACAAGAGGGTATGCACAAGACTTGTCTGATATTCAACAGCTCACGTGTTCTAGAGTTTCGGGATGACAAACCTGGCCTTTTTTACGATGCAAACGGATGCCAAGGCACTGCATAACTGTCAAAGGTTGTGCCGTGCTAGTTCATGCCGTCTCAACCGTTCATGCCGCACATGCCGGATTCGTGCATTTTTCGGAGGCATGAATCCGTTCATGTGTGGATGCCACGTGACCTGTGTTCTTTTCTTCGTGGACATTCTGAGTCCTTTTTCTGAGGTTCCTTCATGAGTTCTCTGATCCTCAGCCTCCTGGCACTCCTCTCCCTGTCGGAGAGGCCGAGCCCCCACGCCCACTCGGCCGCACCGAGCTGTTCTCTTTAGCAGCACGGTGCCCGCAGCGCAGCAGCCTTTGCGAAAGGACGAAGCAGCTCAGCCAAATGGAGGCAAAGAGCGCACAACCCAGCACCTGGAGTGCGGACGACATGACGACAGAGGAATGTCATCGATCCTACAAAGGGAAAGAGAAATCAGAAACCAATCAATCATTTACAATGTGTTGAAGAAAATGGAACATGGACTTATGTCAAGTTCACTTGTCGGCGGATTTGACCAACCACCGCATCAAATCACGAATCGGTGACCATTCACTGCAGTGAATGCGTTGCCCTTCGATTTCGACAATCCGTCGCCTCGCTGTTCTATTTCGTGATATTTATATGACCGTATTTTCTTATGGCCGCCATGACCCTTTTTCTTCACATGTCGAATTGGTTTAAGTTTCCAGATGTTCCCTAAACCAATCCATTGAATGGGGGTAAAGGTTCATGGTCTGGCGGAGATCTGCTTTGCAATGAGGATAACACAAGGTGGATCAAATTGTATCAAAGCGAAGACCACTCATTGAAAGTTTCTGCTCGAAGCCTGTGCACTGTGCAGGTTGTTCTCCACCATTCTTTCACGTGAAACACGGTGCTGTGTGGGTCTCATATGCCTTTTGGGGACTTGAACGGGCAAGCTGACCCTTCACACCTTCGTTCGGACGGACATGTGAGGAGTCGATGATGTTGGTATCGAGTGATACCGGATGTTCGGCACATATAGAAAACATCCAGTGCTCAGCAGTGGCCTCTCTCAATCCAACGAACTGTCTCTACCAGCAGTCACCAAGGGGTGCTTAATGGAAGTTAGGGGTGCCCATTATCCACTCACTTGGAGACTAAACACCACCCCTTTGTGACTCCTGGTATACATATATATACGCTCTCCCTCTCTTCAAACCACGGACCCTCCGTCCGAGTCAACGTATCAAACATCAGACCCTCCATCCGGGGCGGCGCCTGGCTTTCCGGCGAGCCGTGCGAAGAGGCCACGCTGGCACGTGCAGATGTGAGACATAGCACCTGGATTTGACGTGCGATTCGATGAGCCCACAGGCCCTGACTAGGCACGCGATCCGACTGGGTGCGACATGGGTTTATGAAGAACCCGAAGGAGGTGTGGGATGGTGTGGGATGGTGGCTCAATAGGTCACTCAGGTTCGTTATGCGCTACCCCAGAAGTCATAGCCCAATGCGCATCGTCGGTTCGCGCAGACGGTGCAAACGGTGCAGACCTCTCTGTGCGTCCAAAAGCGCCACATGACCCACGTATCGCACACGCCATGACTTCCCAACACAGGTTGAATGACCCGAACTAGACTATCCCAGTTCGGTATATCAGGTAGCTCGGGCCCTAGTTCAGGTCGCTGGCTACCTCTCTTGGCCTTGACCGGTCCAAAAGCTGGACCTGGTCGAACAGCACGTCGCGGGGTTCCTCCGTTTCTTCCGCCGATTCATCGCGCCGGCGTCCGGTCCGAAAGGGGTCACCTCCTCATTCCCTGCTACGCACCCAAAACAGTGCTTGTTCGATGTCCAAGAAACAAACAGGAGGAACGGAAGAAACCAACCAAGGCAGCTCTCCGCGATGATATGAGACTGGAGAGCACCAGGACTTCAAATCAGTGGGCACCCCCCCCCTTCCCCTTCCATGCTTCATGCACTTGCGACCAGATAGGAAATGCTAAGAGCTTTGCCCCGTTGGAAAGCCGATTCTATCTCTGAAAATTCACCGCTTTGTGATCCATCGCCACCTCTACCAGAAGCCTTTTCACCGTGACATGTCCCCCCCCTGAGAACCACACCGTGCTGGATTCTTTCGGCCAACGACCCGCCCTCCGTTCGACCGGCGGGTTCCGCGGTATCGACGGGCCGACGCGCCGAGCCGAGCCGAACGGCGGGTTGCAGCGCTGAGCCGCCAGCAGAGCGGTGAAAAGGAGATCTCTCAAGTGCTCGAAGCACGGGCAGGACAACCTGACGGCGCGAGGAGGTCGGTCGCGGGTCTACGGCGAGGTCGGACTCGAACTGGAAGGCCGTCTTCAGGTGGTCTGGGAACTGGGAACGTCTTCAGGACCTGAAAGAACCGGTTCTTTTGTTCGTCACCAGGAGTTGGGTGCCGAACGAACGGAGGAAGGAGATGGAAGGAGGAGATGGGTGCCCCGAACGTCACGAGCCCGGAATGGGACGAAAAGCCACTCCTTTCTGACCCGGAATGGTCATGAATCTCTTTCAAAGTCCTTTCATCAATCTCTTCAGGACCTGGTTCGACCTCGTGAACCTAAGGGGTGTCTCTCTAATGGAAAAGCACCACCTCATAAAGATCGGACGTCCTAAGGGGTGCTCCAAAAGCCACCGGGGCGGCTCTACGTAGTCCGTCTTCCGCCTTCCTCCGCGCGATATTCGCGAAGCGCTGCAACGAAGCAGGCCTGACCCTGGAAGCGCTTCTGGCCAAGAACATCGCCAAGTTGATGCAGCTGGGGATGCACCAAAGCCAGCAAGCCACGAACTGCAGCGCCAAGATGGGTGCTTGTGCTCGCAAGGAGTCCTTGGGAGACAAAACAAGTTTAACAACTTGTGTTCACCAGCAGTCACAAGACGGGGTGCTTAATGGAAGTTAGGGGTGCCCATTATCCACTCACTTGGAGACTAAACACCACCCCGTCTTGTGACTCCTGGCAGTGATTCTTGGATGTTCCTGTCCCCGTCTTGTGCCACTCAAACAGCGCTTACAAAAACCACTCCCTGTTCACCCTGTTCACCCCCTTCTTCCCCCCCCCCTTCTTCCCTGTAAACAAAAAGACACCTCCCCCTTCTTCCGCCCTGCGGACTTCCCCCTCGACAAAAAGAACAGAGCCCAGTCTCGATGCGAGAGTAACTCGCCACCAGATCCATCCCGACCCACAGGATCGGCGTCGTCGATCCTGCGCGCCCGCGCCGGCACGTCAGTCGGAGTCGCGAAGCCAGAGCCGGCCGCGCCGCGGGTCGCGGCGGTCTGAGACAGGACCTGTTTGGGACTGACATAGATGCTCAAGGCCACTGACCCCCGCTCAAACCTACCACCCCTGGCCTTTTCTCGGTCCAAATATGCCAGGGACTCCAGATGGTCGTGGGACTGGGAGGTGGCCAAGTCGATCAGACCGGTGAACACCCAGCGATCCGGGAACGCCAGGATGGGTCAGGGGGTCGGGACCGAGCAAGAACAGCAACGACTCCCTTTTCTGCACAAGAACCAACCGCCGACCTGAGCGCAAGCATAGACGACACCGGCACACAGGACTACCATAGACCAACCACCAGTCGCCCACGCGAAGAATGCTCCAGACTTACATGCCCATATATGCCCGGATGTCTCCGTGCCGAGTTCCAAACTGCGTCAGACCTGTCCTAACTTCGAAGCATAGGAAGTCTCCGTGCCCTGGTTCTCCGCCAACGCTTTGGCCACCGAGCTCTGCACGCACTCCTCGAACTCCGCCTGAGCTCGACCCGCCCCCCAACGGAAACGGGACCGAACAGCCCGTTTGGGGGACCACGCATCGGCCCGGCGATGTCGACAGCGCTTCAGCGCAAAGAACCATGGTGTTGTCTCATGTTGCATGACTTCCTCTCGCTGACCAAAGCCGATACAGTCGGCAGTGGCGTTGTGAATTCTAGCATTCAACACTCAACTGCACTATGTCAAACAAATGATGATACAGGCCAGCAGCCAAGCCTAATTTCTTCTGAGGATCTTCAAGGCTGCGGCTAGGGCGGTCTCTGGCCGCAAGAGCCAAGTTGGGATGAACCAGGGGTGTCTAATTATAGCTCCTTAGAGGTATCCAGGGGTATCCATTCACCACCCCTAGGGGGGCCTGGTAGAGGTCTTCTCCTGCCACCTTTCGATGTCTACAAAGAAACCTGGCATGGGCTCCCAAGAGATGACCATGTTCCTCCAGAAGCAGGTGGCGGCTATGTGTACTCCGCTTCCATGATGATTCTTTCAGCGAGTGTAATAGAAACCGTGAGGTCTCCAAGTGATTGGAGTCGACTTCTTTTTCCAACACATTTGGAGTCGACTTCTTTTTCCCACGTGAGGAACTCACCAGCGATTTAGAGGGGTTCACCGTCAACCCCTGTTCGTTTGGGGTGGAAAAGCTCTTGAAAAGAGTTTGATGGACCTGGGCGTTGTAGTCCACAAATCCTTGGTAAAACCAGCGTTGTTTCGTTGAAACATGTTGAAACACCCCATACACCCCCTATAAAAGTCCTTGCTCTGAGCATCTATCTGGGAAGCCTTTTTGGGGGGCTTCCGAGACCTGAATCCTTCTGAACGGCCCTGTGATTGGGTCTTGGGCTTCCGATTAATAGCCTTATTGTTCCGTTCGTAGCGATGCCAGAAGCCCCAATCGTAGCGGAACAAGGTTCCGTTCGAGTCGCGATGCCCTTTGTTACTGGATCTTGTCGGATCTATCAATAGCAAACTCTGACCCCAAAAACAAAGGGTGGAAGACATCCAATTCCTGTGAGTCTACTCCAACATGGCCCAAGTCAACTCCGGATGTTGACTCCAACTCCGTTTTTTGGCCCAGATACCACAGAGCCGAACCAGCTGATAACACACTTCACCACCACTTCTCGATCGCAAATCTCCACAGGTTTTCCATCCGGGTCCACATGCTTCACACTGCAACACCAGCACTTGGCCCCTTTCAACTCGAAAGCGCCTTGGTGTGTTGCGGCTTCGACTGGACCGTAGGCCCCCCGGGTGCGGAGATTACGGCTTTGCCACATGCTTCCGACCGAAGGTTCTTCGTGCTGGGAAAAGAATCCCAGCTGCCAGCCATTCCATCGCAGGCCTGCCTATACTTGGGAAGCCGAGAGGCATCCACTCACTGGGATGGATTTCACGAAGGCCCCCCATAAGAACGACTGGTACACTCGGAGAACCCAACACACTCAGTGCCCATCTCCCACCGCACTCAGTGCCGCGGCGCGGAGCCGCCGATCGGCACTGTCCCAGCTGTCGAAGTGATGCCGAGTCAGCTTGAGAAAGATGTAGGTGCAGAGAACTCCCAAGACTCTCAACGTCCACAAGACGTAGGCCTCCACCTCGCCCGTGAACAAGACGTAGACAGCAAAGACCTCGGCTCGGAGCAGAGGACGCTACGCGTCCTAAGGGGCTCCTGGCATCGCTACGAACGGAGCAAGGACGCTATTGGGCCTCCACCTCGCCTGTGAAAATCCGACGTAGACAGCCTTGACTTGCTTGGGAGGCGGTCCCAAAGTCGCTTCAGTTGATCTTCGGATGAAAGATTCAGACCCGAGATCGGTTTTCTGATCAAGCGCGGTTTTCGCGCGGCCGGTCTAAAAAGAGATGTCCACTGCTCACGTTGAGAAAGCATCATGTGAAGCCATGCCCTGGTCGTGTCAAATGTAAGGTTTACAGTGGTTTCAGAGTAGATGGCACAAACCCCAAGGTGTCCTTTAGACGGGGATCCATATAAACACTATAACCCACTGACCTTGGGGGTTGTGCCATCTACTCTAGAACCGCTGTACTTGGCCTTTCCTTGGAGAAACTCGCTTTTCGGGCCATCGTGTCCATCGGCGAACTTGTAGGGAAACCACGTCGAACAGTTCCTTTTCTCGGAGTCTGCAGATGAATCGTGGCTGCCAGGGCGTTTCAACCCAGTGGTGCGTCCTTGAAAACGTATCCCACTCGTTGAAGACGTATCGAAAAGCACCCAGAAGCATACAGAGGTGCACACAGAAGCATACAGAAGCAGCATACAGAGCGACCGGCAGCTTGGAGCCTGACATGAACAATCCGATGTGGTTCCACCATCCCAAAAAACGAACTATAAGGATCCGAGTCCGCACCCTCCAAAAACAAGGGGGCCCAACCCTGCTGTGAACTACGGGGTAACTGGGGCCCCAAACCAAACCCTTAGGTTTTTGGAGGGTCCGGATCCTTAGGTGGCGAAGACCTGCGAGCCCCGAACCAAACCCCTCCACGTGTAGCGCTTGGGCACTGAGAGTGTGGCGCTGGCCAGAAAGCAAACGGATCCGAATCCCACCGGTTTCACCTCCGGCGTCTGACATGCCAAGCTGGTCTCTTTCGGGGCTCTACTCAGTTCTTGAAATATCTGTGTGAACAGAGTTCCGCGCCAAAAAAGAGGGTTCAATCTTGTGAAAGGTGAGAGGTTCTTTGAATAGTTGATCATCTTCACGCCACAGCGAAATGGGAAAATGTAGTCATACGAGTGACATCCGCAAGATACTTACTAACCTGGCACAGCGCTACAGTCATTCTACGTCAAATATTCAACACGACTAGCTTCTGAGCCGAAGAATTTGCAAAACGCAATTCATCTGGTGCGCCTGGATGCGGCCCTCATCTGGCAAATGGGTTTTCAGAAATGCTGCCAGTTCGAAGAGACACCATAGTCTCTCCACGTAGTTTTCATCCCAGACCACCTCAGGACGGACGAATAAAACAATCGGTCTTAAGACGGCACAACATGCTGTGTGTGTGAAGCCCTTGGAGTCACAGGGAATCCGTTGATTTAGTCTTCCTCATCAGCAGGGGGCTGGTTGTTCATGCAAATACCAGCCCAACGAAGAGGCTTGCA